TCCTCATCCTTTTATTTTTAGTTTTTTTTTTATTTTCTTCCATTTTTGTTTTTTTCTCTATTTGTTTATTATTTTTATTTTTTCTTCTTTGTTCACATATTTTTATTCATATCATATTTTCAAGTACGGACATACATTAATTATTAAATATTTCAAGAGTATCACGCGTCTGTATTATCATTTAATATGTCATTTATGTCCTTTAATAATTAAATACAATATCTCATCTACTTACTTATTTTATTAATTATAATATTACAAAATATCATATTTTTATATTTTGAAATAATTAAATAATTACCCGACATTAAATTACTACTTGTCGTAAAGGGAAGTGGGTGTCATTAGACATGAATGGTCACAAAAGCAGGTCTCCGCAAATGTTCCACTGAATATCCAGAGCTTTGTATTCAAATATCAGTCCACGATAGAGAAATTTATTTGAATTTCGGAGTCTTATCCTCCAACCATTTTATATATGAAAAATAAGGGTTTGGTTTCTCAGTAATCTGTGATTGGATTGGAGGGTGTTATTAGGCTTATTATAGAGTTTTATTTTGATAATCTGAATTATTTAATATGTAAAACTCGTCGAGTATTATATACCTGTAAAAAGTCACGTTAATCGGATATCGATAGTTATGTAATCAAATCAGTTTGTATAAAGAAAATTAGATGGTAAAAAAATAAACAGTTGATAGGAATATGATCTAATGAAATAACTATCAATATTCGATCAACGTAATTTTTTATAGACATATAGTACTCGACGAGTTTTACACATTGAACGATCCGAATTATCAAAACGGGACTCGTGGTAGACCCCACGAGCCCAACAGCACCCTTCAATCAGATCATGAACCAGAGAGAAACCAATCCAAAAAATAATATATAAGTTTATTTTTTGATCTTTTTTTTAAAAATTTAATAATGCGTAAATAAAATAATTGATTGATAATTAAAAAATATATTAAATAGAGAGTTACTTTATGTATTCTAATAAAACAACGCATCATTAAATTTGAAAAATAAATTTAACTTATGAGATTAAGGCCAAGTTTGGGAAGATCCAAAAAAGTCAAAAAACCAAAAAGTTACTCAAAAAATTAAAAAGTTAACACTATTCACCAAAAGTCAACAATTACGGCGGCACAACTCCCAATTCAAATTTTTCCCTACAAATCAATTTTTACAATTTTTTATTACACATTTTTCAATAAAAAGTCAAAAAGTTAACCCAAACATCCATATTTTCAACCTCAAATTTTTAATCCAAAAAGACAAAAAATATACTTTTTTAGTCTTTCCAAACTTGGCCTAAGTAATATCACCCTTTATATATTGATTAGGATTAGATATATTTTAAATTTAAATTTGAAATTGACCAACACGGTTGGAATGGTGAAATCTACTTGGATCACACTACAACTGCTCATCCAAATGTCCAAAAATAAGGCAACTGGCTTCCTGGAGAAATCGTTCACTTATAATTATAAAGGGCAAATTACATATACCTCTTGAGATTTAGTAAAATTACAGATACCTTTTGAGGTTTAAGAAATTACAAATATCTCCTTGAAGGTACTATTTGCATAACAAATTAGGAGGCAAATTGTTATGAAAATATAAACTTCATAGGGCAATTTGTTATGAAAATATAAACCTCAGGAGGGTATCTGTAATTTCCGAAACCTCAGGAGATATCTGTAATTTAGCTAAATCTCGAGAGAGGTATATGTAATTTGCCCAATTATAAAACTATAATTAACACATTATTTTGAATCGTAAATTATTTCCTTTTTTATTCGATTAATTAGTTAGGGCTAACTTACCGAGTGTTTGGGATTTAAATTTGGAAAAATCGGTCTAGGGTCCCCCTCCCACTTTTCGTAATGGAAGAGGTCCACAAAATTATATTATGATGTCTAAGGTCCCTACAGAGAAATTTCATATCCCTCACCCTTCAAACCTCCATAAACCAATTCGATGATTTGTCTCTCCATTCTAGAGAGAGAATCTAGAGAGAGAGAGCGCCATAGTTGCATTGCAGATCTGTTGAACAGACATGGAGGCTGCCTACTTCAATGATTCTCAACGTCAGGCAACAAAGGATGATGGTGTTATTGCTGGACTCAATGTGATGCGTATCATCAATGAACCTACTGCCGCTGCCAGGCGTCCATACACGATTGCTTGAACACTGGCCATTAGTTTCGCTATCTCTCGACCTGAGAAGCCTTCTGTCTTCTTGGCAGCCTCTCGGATCAGATCATCGAAGAAATCTTCTATTGTTATCAGACATATTCTCCCCCACATGTATCGACTCTGTCCAACTCCAGTATGGCGTCCCATAAGTCCATCATCCACCGAACCTCATTCTTCGAATCTACGAATCTCTCACTCCTCCACCACTATAAACGAGATTGACAAACATTTTAGAGACAAACCGAGAACAAGACAGAGTCTCTATATACAAACCCATGCCAATTTTAGACCCTTGGCCTCATTTTTAGCAAACTCATTTCCTATAAACAAGAAAGGGACAAATTGAGAGTGTGAATCTGAGGAGTTCTTGCTTTAAAAACCCTGAAAGCTCTGAAAATTGAAAGCACTTTGCGTATACACTGACTTTTCCATCTCTTTGCGAATTTCTCTGGGTTTGGGAAATTTATTTGGTTTAAGTGAATTTCTTTGGGTTTGGAGAAGAGAAATTTCTCTGGAGAGAAGGGAAGGCCAGAGAAATTTTCTCTAGATGGCCAGAGAAAATCACAGAGATGAGTATGTGATTTAGTCAGAGAAATTTGAAAATTTCTCTGTGAAGTCACCAGAGAAATTCTCTGTGAACCAGAATTCTCTATGAAGTTCACAGAGAATTCTCTGTGAAATTTGATATTTGATTCTACAGAATTCAGGTTGTAGAGTTGGTAATAATTGTTGATTTTGCTAAATTCGACTTCACAGAGAAAATTGGTGCAGGGACTTACCTTCCCTAGACTTTCCATTGCAAATTTCTCTGGTCTTCCCTTCTCTCCAGAGAAATTTTTTTCTCTGGCCTTCTGTATATTTCCCACTCTCCATTAGAATTAGGTAAGGATAGATATACCCTGAAAAATTTGTAGATAAGTACAACAAAAATTTATTGAATTCATTCAAAGAAAATGATAGGAATTTCCCAAACAAATTGTAGAAATTCTGAATCAATATCAACAATATAGCATATTCAAACAAGATGAAGCACATTACAATTTCTCTAGAGAAAAGGGAAATTTCTCTGGAGAGAATGGAAGGCCAGAGAAATTTACAGTGGGAATTCTAGGGAATGTTAGAGAAATTGGAAAGTCCAGAGAAATTCTTCCCAGGACCAATTTTCTCTTTGAAGTTGAATTTTCTCTGGAAGTCTAGGGAATGACTTCTTCTCTTTCTTATCTATGCTAAGGTATGGCAAAATCTTACTGTCAACCACCTCATCTTGTTGAACTTGATCTACAAAGAGCACTAGGATTAGCAAACAGAATTTTGATAGTAACCCTTTATGAAAAGATATTTGTAAGAGAACATATAAAATGCACGATGATGCAGAGTTTCCTGGATTGTGTGAATTTTCTCTGAACTATCTGAATTTTCTCTGGATGTCTAAATTTTCTCTGGATGTCTGAATTTTCTCTGGATAAAGAGAATTTCTCTGGATGTCTGGAGAGAATTTCTCTGGAAAGTCCAAAGAAATTCTCTGGACCGAATTTTCTCTGGATTGAATTTTCTCTGGATTGATGTTGAAGGACCTTAGACATTATGAAAATATTGAGTGTCCTTTATACTATAAATTCTTAATATCAGGGACCTTAAAAAAAATCCCCCTTTAAATTTTCAGTGATATTTTTGTTGACTTTATTTGACTTTAGTGATTTTTTAAAACAAAAAAGTAAAAAAAAAAATTATGCTTTTGGATTCCATTCTACTCAACTGATGGGAATAGTAAAATTTTAAAAATAATTTAGCGAGAACCATTCACCTTGCTTGTTTTTATTTTTCAAAAAATATTTTTCAAAAAATTTTACTTTTTTACTTTTTTATTTTTTGTTTTTTTTTGTTTTTACCGAATTTTTTAAATATTTTAAGTAATTTTTTTACTTTTTAGACATACCTAACATAAATACACCTAAAAAATAAAAAAATTGTAAAAAAAATCTTTTAAAAATTCACTAAATACCAAAAATACAAAAAAATATAAGAATTCAATACATTTTTTTATATTTATTAATTTTTTAAAATATTTTTTCACAAATTTTTTACTTTTTAGATACATCTAAGTAAGGTGCATCTAAAAAAGTAAAAAAAATGTTTAAAATTTAAAAAATATTCACTAAAAATAAAAAAACACGAAAAACTAAAAAAGACAATTTTTCAAAAACTTAATTCAGAAAATTCAAATCAAACACACTGATTACATTTTATTTAGAAGTCAATGTTTAAGTACCAAATGCGAAGACTCCCCTTCTTTGTGCCACTCACGTGATGTCCTTCAATATACAAAACAAAAAATAACTATACTTATGTTGTGTTTAGTTGAGAGATTTGAGGAGAGATTTAGAAAGAAAAATGGAAAAGGTAGGTGAAATGTGAAAAAAATATACCTATATTTCACATAGTTTCACACACCTTTTCCCTTTCTTTTTTCAAATCCCTCCTCAAATTCCCCCAACCAAACACACCATTAAAGTGTAGTTGATATTCAACTAATGGATAAAAATTGGGAAGGTAGTTTACTGGAAAAAAAGAAAAAAGAAAAAGATAGAAATACAAATTAAATTATCATTTATTTTATCAACTTTAACGTGTAACTATAGCAAGACTCGAAAGATAAAAATAAATTGAATTGATTTCCGTTGAAGACTACGTGTTGGAACTCCTTCAGCAGTGAGTTAGACAATTTACGGACCAATGTCAAATAAATAAAAAAACAAATAGAGGCCATTTGGAGTGAAGAATAGTAGTCATTGATAAGGCATGAATTATAACAGAATATACAGCAAAGACTTTGGTAGGAGAGAGAGAAATAAAAAGGAGCTTCCCGTATCCTCTTTATGATTATATCCTCAACAACCTTTTCCTTTTCCTGCTTGCTTGCACCCAAATGATGCCGACAATTGCATCTTCATGGCGCCATCTCTCTCTAATCCTAATCCTAATCCTAATCCTCTCATTTCTATCCACCAATGACGCCACTTCTCATCAGAAATTCAGAGAAGCCCCACAGTTCTACAACTCACCCAATTGTCCTCCTTCTTCACTTCTCACCAACATTAACAATGCAATTTGCTCCCATAATGCAGTACACGTGGCTATGACCCTCGATGCCGCCTACATCCGGGGCTCCATGGCCGCCATTCTCTCCGTCCTCCAACACTCCTCCTGCCCCGAAAACATACACTTCCACTTCGTCGCCTCCGCCACCACCAACCACCTCAACCTCACCATTTCCAATTCCTTCCCTTACTTGAATTTCATAGTTTACCACTTCGACCATGATGCCGTGGCCGGCCTCATCTCTACCTCCATCCGAGCGGCGCTCGACTGTCCTCTCAACTACGCCCGCAACTATCTCGCCGATCTCCTCCCAACCTGCGTCCGCAAAGTCGTCTACCTCGACTCCGACCTCGTCCTCGTCGACGACATTGCCAAACTCGCCGCCACGCCCCTCGGCGATTCGGCGGTCCTCGCAGCGCCGGAGTACTGCAACGCGAACTTCACGTCGTACTTTACGCCGACGTTTTGGTCGAACCCCTCTCTGTCTCTGACATTCGCGAATCGCAACGCTTGTTACTTCAACACGGGCGTGATGGTTATCGATCTCGAGCGATGGAGAGACGGAGACTACACGACCAAGATCGTCGAATGGATGGAATTGCAGAAGAGGATGAGGATCTACGAGCTGGGTTCGTTGCCGCCTTTTCTGCTGGTTTTTGGCGGGAACATTGCTCCTGTGGATCATAGATGGAACCAACACGGTCTCGGCGGTGATAATTTCCGGGGACTTTGCAGAGATTTGCATCTGGGTCCGGTCAGCCTTTTGCACTGGAGTGGGAAGGGGAAGCCGTGGGCGAGACTCGACGCAGGTCGGCCGTGTCCTTTGGATGCTCTCTGGACACCTTATGATCTGTTACAAACAACATATGCTCTTGACTCTTGAGGTACATAGTCAAATACATAAATTAAGGTTTAGAAACACTTTTTTCTTAAATTGTATTTTTTGATAATTCAATTTGTAAGTGTTTGTTGTTTTTGAATTTGCAGATGTTTAGCAAAGAGACGAGATATATAAGGCTACAGATAGATGATCATTCTCTGTTGTGTCGTTGAATACCGTTTTCCACATAGTAGATGGAAGTAAAACAAACATGGCACGGTGGTGAGTGAAAGTGGTCTGTAGATTGCACAGTTAATAACAGATCGCATAATATAAAGTTTCTATTTTAGTATTTTTTACTCTTCCCCATGTCTATATCTGAGAACAGCAAATTACAGTTACACTTACTCAACATAAGATAAGGTGATCTGTTCATATTTCTTCATGTTTTGATCCGCAACTGTTTTTTTTTTTTTAACTTACACGTAATAAAATATAAAAAATGTTCATAAACATAGAAACTGATTACACATTCGAATACAACCTCTCACATTAGTCGTGTTTATGTTTTCGTGAGTCCCAAGGGAGATTATTGTATTTGATTTTGTGATTGGTTTCTATTCAAATGGAAGAATCTTAAAACAAATGACTGGGAAAAAGAATATATCCTGAATGTGTGGAGCATACATATGAACTCTTTATTTTGTGATTTAATTTTTTAATTTAATTCTCTACAATTAAACTTTCTCTTTCTTTTTAACTTGCAATTGCGAATACAATTAGTTTAACAATACAAAAATAGCACAAAATAAGAAGCGGAAAAGCAGATGGATGAAGAATTTTACAAAATTTATTGTTAGGACTTACTTCTGAAAATTATGTTCATCAATATATTTAGGGTAAATTACAATTACACTCTCTGAAATTTGCTTAAAATACGAATTACCTCTGTGGTTTGAAAAATTACAAATATCTCCCTATCATAATTTTTATTTAACAGAATTAATTGAAAAAGTAAAATTTTTTACTGTTCACCTATACAATAATAAAATTATCTAAATTATTAATTAAAATAAAATTTTAACATTATTAAAAGCTGTTAATTAACTAAATGATTTATTAATAAAATGACCTACTTGTTATGAAATTAGAAACTTTAGAGGACATAATGTAATTTCTAAAACTATAGGGGATAATTTGTAATTTAAGTAAATTTCAAGGGATGTGTTTGTAATTTACCCATAAGATTATTTGTGTGATTTATTTGATTTTTGTATTCAAAAGCTTATTAGTGAATGTATACTACGAAATTGTTACTATCAAATACACATGAGAGGGTTGCTTTTCGTCTTTGTCAATATAAGTTTTCAATAGAGGGAAATAGATTGACAAATATTTCGTATCTCATTATGATTTGATTTTGGGAGCTTTTTCTTTCTTTGTTTGGCTTTGGCCAAACATCACTTTGTAGGTTTTGACCAAATTATGAATCTTGCAATAAATTAAGTTACTAATTTTATTTTATTTTTTAGATGAGGAAAGCTACCAAATTTTGTTGGTGGATTCTTTAGGTTCAATTCATGGTAGATAATAAGGTTGTCAATCCACTACCGTGAACATTTGTCAATTCTCTCCAATTACGTTGTTGCAACGATGGTTTTTTTTTTCCCTATTATATATATATATATATATAAATTTTAGTAATTACATAATACTTATTAAAAAATATTCAATAAAGTTGTGATTAGAAACTGTTTTTAAGAACCACAACCGAAAAAGGTTTAGTCTCATTGTTTATTTTAAGTCTTTTTCGGAATCTTAGTGAAATTCTTTGTGGTTTTAGTTGAGTTTCATGTGTGATTAAGTATGAGATCATTTGGCTCAAAGGCGTATAGCTTGAATCATGATTGTCTAGAGTGATTTTTCATAAAGTGTTTTTAGAGTAATTTTCTAAATGATTTAGAACTAATTCTGACAAAATTGGGGATATCTAATTATTTGACCTTCCAAGCTCTCAAAATTTAATCTTATTACTTTACAATCACTTTACGAAAAATCACTCTAGAGGATCCTGACTCTTATTTTGAAGCAACATGTTTTGAGTTCAAGTCTCCTTAAGTTTGCTCGATATATGCTTTATAAATATTTTATGGTTTTAGAAATAACGATAAAAAGATAAGAAGATTACTCTGATGAGAAAATTGCATATGATGGCATATGAGAAAATTGCATATGACATGTGAAAATCATTTGATCTTCAACGTCTCTGATGGATGGTTGAGCCCATGTGTGCTTAACCTTATTGTAATTTGTTTGTACACTCTTGTCTTACATATTCTGTGCTATAAAAAAAATGCAATACAATTTAGATTTGGTATGTCACAACAGCAGTGCAATAGCTAAGCATTATATAAGGACTTTTAAAATATATAGTTGAGCTTGCTTATCGCATCAACCTCATACAATGCATCCAATTTTAATATCCTCACCTCATGTAACGTCATTTTATATGCATTTTCTTTGTTTGCTGCTTAATGAAAAAAAATACGACAAATTACATTTATAATCTCTGCAGTTTATCTTTTGTATTAATTTGGTTATTATAATTATAATTATAATTGTATTGATTGTATCATTAATTTAGTCTAATTGATAATTCTCAACTTAGACTGAAATTAAGGAAAAAATAATTTATTCACTTTTCTCATAATGATTAAAGAGTTGACGTTCAATTTAAAATATTTTGTTACTTTTCGATGGATCCTTTTACCTTTAATTTCCGTTCAATTTCTTATCTTAACGTACTTTATCAATTAGACTAAATTGATATAATTTGAAAATTTTAAAAATTAAATTGATACAATTGAAACTACAATAATCAAATTGACAACAAAGACAAATTACAAGAACTAAAGATATTATTATATCTAGAAAAAATGTAAAAAATAATTAAAAGGGGCAGATTTTGAATATACAATGTAGACTTAAATTTAGTAGATGTAAGTTATGCTCATAATAAATCTAATAAATACATTTGAAATTATAGTTTTTTTTTTTTTTTTTTTTTGTGTGTGATGAATATGTAAAGTTTACGAGAGGATAAGAAACGCTTTTGTGACAGCCAAAAGAACAAGAACCACATGGATACGGGAAGGGGATCCTGTCGGTGACTGATTTGGTAAGAAAATAGAAGCAAGCAACAAATGGATGCACATTTAATAATAACTGAAAACGAAAATGATAGCCGTCTAAGGTCACATGCACTTAATAATTTGGTCGACACTTAGCCCTCATGGTTACGTTAATAAATATCAGACAAATGCACATGGTGGCTTGTTAGCCATTTACATTTATGGTGACACAAAGTTAGGGAAACAATCTCTTTAAAAATTAGAATAAAATTATAGATCTTTTGTCTTCCTGTCATAGATTGATTTGTTCATTATCACATGTACATGTATCACTGTACTACATATAAATTTCTAATTAATTTTCTTATTTCTTATTTATCTGATATTTTTCAATTTTTATTTTTACCTGGATATGTATGCCCATTTAAGTCTTAAAATTTGAAGGAAAAAAAAATAAAGAAAAAACTGCAAGTAGTGTGAAATCTATACGGGGCAAATATGAACAAAGAGAAATCTATGTGGGTTTGTGGAGAATCGTTTTGTCTCATAATAAATAAGGTTGCTTGGAAGTGAGATTTTCTACACACGTGTGTGGTGGCACAGGCTTCGAATGCCATGGAAACATAATTTACATCATAAAGGGGTCATTACTACCATTAGTCTCCCCATTCACTTGAATCTAGGATTGACAAAGGTTTTCATTTAAAGTCAACACATTAATATCTAAAGTTCTCACCTTTACATTTGCTCTGATAAATTTGGCGATGCTCAACTTGAATTCCAGAAAATTTTAAGGTCAATCAGTTAGTTTTAGTTTCTGTTTTTTTTTTTTTTTTTTTTTTTTTTTTTTTTTTT